AAAATACAATGGCTCTGCAAATTCTTCTAATGTAGTAATTCTTAATTCACAGATCAAAGACCCCAGGAGAAACAGGAAGGGGTTTAGAGATTGTGATGTTTCCCTCGGGGTGGTTGTCCCCATTGACTTGGGATTCCCTGCCTTCATCCTAAAGAGCCTGTGCTGAAGAGGGAGTGTTGCTTGGCATCCCTCATCATGAAAGGGACACTTCCACTGGTTGAGAATCCCTGTGATGATGGATCGTGTTAAGTCACAAAGGACACCCTTTGCCGGGAAGCTGCCTGGTTCTGGCCTGAGACCCAGGCAAATTGTGTACCTTTAGGTACCCTCATCCCAGCCAAGATGCATCAACCACCCGGGAGCTTCTGTATTTAATGTTTTTATGCTTTTTCTTTTTAACAGTTTGCAGAAGTCATTTACCTTAAGTCTAGTTCTAAGGTATAGTGGTCAAGAGCATAGCCTGTCAACACCTGGATTCAAATCCCAGTTCTGCCTGGTGCTAGCTTCATGGCCAAGTTATTTAACTGTTTTGAGCTTAATTCTCTCACATGTAATTAGGAATAATAATAACCCCAAAGTTATTAATAATGCCCACAGAGTTGTTGTCAGGATTCAATGAGATAGTCCATGTGAAGCATGTCATATGTGCATGGCACACAGAAATCATGAGTGTTGGCTGAATTGTCATTGGATAAGTGTAATCATGAGTGATTCTCTAAACAATCCAGCAAGGTAGGTACTGCATATTAAGAAAAATGAGGCTCAGAGCATGCTCTCCCCAGTAATCATTGGCTCAAGGCCAATTGCCATAATATGATTCTGGAAAGAGACTCCTGCTGGAAAAGCCAAGGCAGGTATTTTCCAATAAGCTAGAAGGAGCAGAAAGAGCCAAGGTCAGAGACCAGCCGAGTTACAGCATTTGAAAGGTGTAAGGTAGTGAATGTAAAACTGAAGGAGTTTGAATTTATGCTCAAGGGAGTTAGTGGCTAGAGATGAGGACATCGTTGTGCCAACTTAAAAGGACATTCCAGCGCTCTGTGGTTTGGGCTAGCATGTGTGAAGGGACACCTTAGTGCCTACATCTAGCTTCTCCACAGCCAGGGCTGAGGGTAGGTGGCTCCAGGAGTAACTCCCCATGACTACATAGTGTTCATCCCAGCTCAAGGCTGGAAGTTCCTCTTCCTGCTACCTGAATGAGGATCGAACCAGCCTTCTGTAGTATTGTGTGGTGTTCCCGTTATCTATTGCTGCTTAACAAACCACTCCGAAACTTAGTGACATAGGAGGACATCCATTTCATTATGTTTATGATTCTGTGAGTTAGGGATTTGGGCAGAATACTGTAGTTCTGCTCTTCTCTTCTGCTTAGCAGTATCTGGGGCCTCCACTGAGGTGGCTCGGATGGGACAGCTCTATTGGGGCATCTGTCTGGGGTCTTGGGCCCTGTCTCTGTGGCATCTCCTAGGGATTGAATGTCCAGTATGACTCCTTCACTGTGTATCTGGAAGCTAGGCTGGGATGACTGCAACTGCTGTTTCTTTCCAGGCAGCCTCTGCCTTTGACCAGCTTGGACATTCACATAGCATGCTGACCTGGGGGTGGTCAGATGTTTTACACATGGCTAGTTTCCCTCAGAGCAAATGTTCCAAGAGGCCTGGGTAGAAACTGTAAGGCTCCTCGTGACTGAATCTCAGAGGTCCCCCTGTGTGTGACTTCTTCCACATTCTGCTAGTTGGGAAAATCAGTAAAGTCAATCTAGATTTAAGGAGGCAGAGAAACAGACTCACCCTCTTAGGAGAAGGTCATGGCATGTACACAGAGGAGAGGAACTGATGGCAGCCATTCTGGAGACAAACCACCACACATGGGTAGGGTTAAGAATATGGGCTTTAAAAAAAAAAAAAAAAAAGAATATGGGCTTTGAGTCACAAATATTGGTTCCTATCACAACTCTGTAACTTTCTAGCTCTGTGATGTCAGGCAAGTTACTTAACCTCTCTAAGCCTCAATTTCCTTACCTGTAAAATAAGGATAATGATATTTTGCAATAACTGTGATAATACTTAAATGAGATAAATCTAGTGCTTGGCACAGTTGATTCCTAACACCTGTAAAGTCCTCACTTAATAGTAGCTATGCTGCCTATAATAATACCATATTATAGTGTAACTTTAGTGTAACTATAGTAGTGCTATTTCTCTGGTTTGTCCTTTGGATATTCATTCATTCATTCAGCAAGCATTTACTGAGTGCCTGTGGTATGCCAGGCACAGTTTCAGGCACTGGCCTCCCCAACAGTTGCAAAGATAATAATACATTGAAAACAGAGAGTAATTGGGTTGTCAGGTGTTTTGAGCAGCATCGCTGGCTCTTCAGTGCCAGCCAGCATTGCTGGGGTTGGCAAGCCTGGCTTGAAGGAGGAAGCAAGGGATGGCCACCTAAGCCTTTCTGATATTGCAGTATTAATGGCTGCATTATTCTGAATGCTGAAGTATTCTGGCTTCGTCCTAATAGAGACTCCTACTCCCACAGTAACTCTCCTCTGCCATTTAAATAGTGGGAATGTTACTAAGGAGAGGCAGGAGATATGAACCTTCCTCTCCATTCAAACATGTGCCTGCAGATCCCATCTGATGAGTGTCTGTTCCCTTCAGGGGCCCTGGTATGTCAGTAACATGGCACTCAGCATTCAGAAGCCCCATCAGAACCACTGCTCCTCTGTCTCATGCCCATGGACCCTTCTTGGCTTCCATAATCACCACCTCAAACATTGAAGTGATAGAAAAGATAGGAAAGGTAACAGTGTCCAACTCTTTACATAATCATAGGAGAATAACTCAGTAAAGCATTCTAAAATGAAATGAAAAGCAAGATGTCAAGAGAATGCAAGCCAAATCAGGAGAGGCCATTTGGCACAGTCTGGTCTCTGTGTCTTATTTGAGCAGTTTCCTAACACCGGGAACTAATTAAAAATGAAAAGGCAGGGCTTCTAACCCAGTACCTTTCAAAATCTTTAGGTTTCCCATAATAGTCATGTGAAAAATCTCACTTGCTCAAATGAGCATCTTCAACTTTGATTTGAAGACACTGGAGCTTTAAGTAAATCTCACTTTCAGGAATTTGTTTTTAGGTTAATGATAAAGGAATTCACACTCATTAAGCTCCACTGTTCCAGGACCTAAAAGCTGAACATTATAGAATTGCTGAATCTGCCATCTTTCCCTTAGTCCATTTGCCCACCCAGAGCATGAATATGTGCTACATGGCCCTGACAGATGGACATCAACCATCTCCACAGTCGTGCTGAACAAGACCAAGAGCCTGTGACTTCACATGGAGACTGCAGAAATCAGAAACCCCAGTCTGCCTTTCAGAGGGGTCCCATCTGCACACAAGGAGGCAAGGCTGACGATGACATGAGTGCCAAGTGTAGGCAGACGAAGGGTTCAGCCCTCTTTGTACAATGATGGCCGGAGCTGTCTGCCAGCCCTCCTCCACTATCATTTGTTGGTGCACTGCTAATTTACTAGTCTGACTCATCCTTGGAGGCAAACACGGGATCAGTGTTCATTGCAGGAAGTGCTCAGTTGGCTGTGTGAGGTTCAGTGTCTCCAGCAAGCACACGTCTGTCTTGTGGGGCCATCATTTCATAACATGTCACTCGAAGAAGAAGACACCGCTTCTGTCAAAACAGTTTTCAAGCCCGGAGGCATTCTCCCTACTTGGGTCCAAGACCACAACAGTCTGGCATTGATCTGAAACCTGGTCTGTCCAGAAATCCACAGGCTTCTTTCACATGGCCTCTGAAGGCGATCCTGTATCTCCTTCACCATCTTCAAGTGGGAATAGTCCCAAACAGTTCTCCCCAGAATCATGGGGATTGAGCTGTTCCATGTGCTTGACTAGAGGGGCTAGAGATGGGCACAGTTGCAAAAGCAGCATAAGCAGAATGCCATTTCTGTGTTTTGAGAAACCATGAATACACATTCCAGGGACACTGATCAAAATGAAAACTTGGGACAAACCATGCCTGCTCTCTGCTTGTGCAGTGATTTTAAGAAAGCTCTCTATGACTGATAGGCATCTACCTCTTCGGTGCACTTGTGACCTCAGGGGTGTTGTCGAGACCCTGTCTCCTTGGGGTCACACAACATCATGTTTTCTTAGCGAGAGAAGATGGGGTGGAGCTGTGCTGGGAAGAGAAGGTAGAAATCGAAGATACGTATCGGGAGAAGAGAAAAGAAAGCTAGAAGTCATCTTGAAGGAATGATTGAAGGTCTGACGAAAAGAACCTTTCTCCCAGGCACTGCTTGGCATGGCATTCAGGCCTGACACAGTCTCCTGTCTCTTGCTGATTTGATGATAAAATATGGAGTGGACCCACAGGGAGAGCAAGCGCCTCAAGAAATAGATGGATAATTGGCTCTGTTTGCATGCTGGCTGCTGTAACTGTGAGACACCACACCAGCATGACTAATGCCTCTCCCTCCGCCTAAATTAGATTTTGATTGTGCTTTAGAGATGTTCACTGAATCACAGATGTTTGAGGTAAAAAGACCCAAACTTCTCAGGAACACCTCCTGTGGAGTGTGTGGGCTAGTCCTCACAGGCACAGCTGAGGCGCTCCCAGAACTAAGATGAAGGACCAGAGTAACCCCTTATCTTCCAAGGCCTGGGAGCAAACCAGCTGCCCATGAGGAGGCTCAGAATGGAGTAGGTTCCTGGGGCCAGTGGGTGGGTGCCTGCTCCCTGTGGGGTGAAGTTGGGGGTCGGCTCCTTAGCATGGCTGAAAGAGAGGCATCTCATTGCTGATTAATGACATATAGACTCCAGATTGGACCTAGAGTTTCCTGTTTTTCACAGATTTCCACTGACTCACTGCCACAATAGGTAGAGTAGTTCAAGGTCCTTGCTAGTTCACCTCCCACAGTGCTCCTCAGCCACTCAACTTGGCCACCCTGTAGTACAACCTAATAAACACTTTCTCTTTACTCTTGCAGAATTTAGCCTACGAAATCATCCTAACACTGGGACAGGCATTTGAAGTCGCTTACCAGCTTGCACTACAAGCAAGAAAAGGGGGGCATTCCTCTACACTTCCGGAAAGCTTTGAAAACAAACCCTCCAAACCCATCCCCAAGCCCCGTGTCAGCATTCGCAAATCGGTGGTAAGTAGAAAAGATAACAGATGTTCTGAAAATCTTGAGCTAGAGGGAAAGGAGGTTGCTAAGTGGGCCCTGAGTGGTGTAGGACCTGCATTTCTGTCTCCCTTGGCCTCCTCCTGGCATGCATCCTTCATCCTCCCAGCCTGGTTCCTGCAAAGTCTTGGGGGACCGTCTGCCTGAACCTAGAGGCTCCCAAGAAAATTCCACTCTGTCACCTGTGGCAGCCCTGTGAGGGGGGTACTGGGTGTTGCTGCTTCCTTGACGAACCTTTCCTAAAGGTCCAGTAAAGCTTGGGAATGATGTTCCCTGAGGCTCCACTACCATCACAACAGGGGCCAGAGCCTCTTGCAAGCCACTGGCCCTTGGAGAGGTTGGCAGAGGTTCACAGCAAGGTGTCCCGGGTACCCAGCTAAAGGAAGCTAGGTGCACAGGCTGTACGTGCATCACAGCAGAGCAGCCCTCTTCCCCTTCACTGGAGGCCTAGATGCCAGCTTTAGGCAGGCTTTCTCGCAGCAGCTGAGACTTCCTAGAGTGGTGACTCTTCAGAAGGTGCAGCCCCTCCTTCCTCCTCGTCCTCTGCCTTCCTCCAGGAATTTCCTCCCCCTCCCTCCCACAAGCTCTGTAGACATCCTGTCCTAACAGACTTTTCATGACTTCAAAGCGACCTCCGCTGGTAGTAGCAATACCCAGAAGCTGGAGCATTCCCAACCAGCCTCCCATCTGGCTTCTGCTCCAGCTGCCTTATGGCATCCTAGCAACTCTGTGGCATGGGGCAGGCAGGCGCCCCCAGATGCCCTGCTCTCATATCCATATTATCCCTCTAACTCTCTTCTCCCTACCATCTCTGCCCAAGGGGTCACAGGGAAAGTGTAGAATCTTGAAGCTCCTCCCTTTGTGACCATGTGGCTTCTTGTTTACAATCTTCTTTTGGGCCTCTACTCCTGTCACCATTCTTGGCAGCTTCAGCATCCATGGAGACAATTCCTCCAACATCTGGCCTCTCTCCTTGAGGGCTCACTGCCACTCCACCCCAGCCACTAGCTCCCATGCTTATCCTTCATCTGAACATCACCAGTTACTGCATGTCCTCTGAAAATCTTCCCTTCAAACACCATGGTCAAAACAAACACACACACACACACACCATGTTCTCCCTACCTCTGCACCTACCCAGCCCCACTGGCTCCCAATCCTGATGCACTCCCACAAATCCAGATTTGTATGTTCAATTTCTTCTTTAATATGTAACAGACATCTGAAACTTAGCATGTCCAGAAATAATTATTTTCATTTTAATTCCAGTATAATTAACATACAGTGTTATATTAGTTTCAGGAGTATAGTGTAGTGATTCAACAATTCTGTACACTACTCAGTGCTCATTCAAATACTCCTAATCCCCTTCACCTATTCTCCCCATCTCCCCCCCCCCCCAATCCAACTGCCCCTCTGGCAGCCATCAGTTTGTTCTCTATAGTTAAGAGTCTGGTTTTTTTTCTTTGTTCATTTGTTTTGTTTCTTAAATTCCACGAGTGAAATCATATGGTATTTGTATTTCTCTGACTTATTTCACTTAACTTTATACAATTTATTTATTTATTAGTGTTTATTTTTAAGAGACAGGGTGTGAGCAGGGGAGGGGCAGAGAGAGAGAGGGAGACACAGAATCCGAAGCAGGCTCCAGACTCCAAGCTGTCAGCACAGAGCCTGACGCAGGGCTCAAACTCACGAACTGTGAGATCATGACCTGAGCCGAAGTAGGATGCTCAACCGACTGAGACACCCAGGCGCCCCTCTACCCTTTAGATCTATCTGTGTTGTTGCAAATAGCAAGATTTCATTATTTTTTATGACTAATATCCCACTGTGTATATATACCACTTTTTCTTTATTCATTCATCCATCAGTGGACACTTGGGTTGCTTCCATAATGTGGCTACTGTAAGTAATGCTGCAATATATATAGGGGTGCATGTATCTTTTCATGTGTCTGTTGGCCATCATGTCTTCTTTGAAGAAATGTCTGTTCATGTTTTCTGCCCATTTTAAATTGTATTTTTGGTTGTTTTGTGTCGAGTTGTGTAAGTTCTTTATATATTTTGGACACTAACCCCTTATCAGATATGTCATTTGCAAATATCTTTTCCCATTCAGTAGGTTGCCTTTTAATTTTGTGAATTGTTTTCTTTGCTATGCAGAAGGTTTTTATTTTTATATACCCCCAATAGTATATTTATGCTTTTGTTTCTCTTGCCTCAGGAGACATCTAGAAAAATACTGCTCTGGCTGCTGTCAGAGAATTACTGCCTGTGCTCTCTTCTAGGATTTTTATGGTTTCAGGTCTCACATCTATGTCTTTAATCCATTTTGACTTTATTTTTGTGTATATATAAGAAAGTGGGCCACTTTGATTCTTTTGCATGTAGCTGTCCAGTTTTCGCAGCACCATTTTTTGAAGAGATTCTTTTCCACATTGCATATTCTTGCTTCCTTTATTGAAGATTAATAGATCATATCATGGGTTTATTTATAGTCTCCCTCTTCTGTTCCATTGATCTATGTATCTCTGTTTGTGCCAGTACCATACTGTTTTGATTACTACAGCTTTGTAGTATACCTTGAAATTTGGGATTGTGATACCTCCAGTTTTGTTCTTTTTCAAGATTGCTTTGGCTATTCAGGGTCTTTTTTGGTTCCATAGAAATTTCAGGATTATTTCTTCTAGTTCTGTGAAAAATGCTCTTGGCATTTTGATAGAGATTGCATTAAATCTACAGATTATTTTAGGCAGTGTAAACTCCCAGTCTGTGAGCATGGAGTACCTTGCCATTTGTTTATGTCATCTTCAATTTCTTTCATTAGTGTTTTATAGTTCAGGGTATAGATCTTTCACCTACTTGGCTAAGTTTATTATTAGGTATTTTATTATTTTTGGTGCAATTTTAAGTGGGGGTGTTTTCTTAATTTGTCTTTCTGCTACTTCATTATTAGTGTATAGAAACGCAGTGGTTTTTTGTATATGGATTTTATTAGTTCTAGTTTTTTGGTGGAGCCTTTAGGGTTTTCTATATATGGTATAATGTCATCTGCAAAAAATGAGTGTTACTTCTTCCATACCAACTTGGATGCCTTTCATTTCTCTTTCTTGTCTGATTGCTCTGAGGCTAAGACTTCCAGTACTGGAATAAAAGTGGTGAGAGTGGACATGCTTATCATTCCTCATCTTAGGGTAATAGCTCTGTTTTTCAACGTTGAGTATGATGTTAGCTGTGGGTTTTTCATGTATGGCCTTTATTTTGTTGAGGTATATTCCCTCTAAAACCTACATTGTTCAGAGTTTTTATAATGAATATTGATTTTGCACTTTGTTAGATGCTTTTTCTGCATCTGTTGAGATGATCATGTGGTTTTTATCCTTTCTCTTGTTGATGTAATGTATCATGTTGATTGATATACAAACATTGAAACATCCTTGCATCCCGGGGGAAAAAGTACCACTTGATTGTGGTGAGTGATTTTTTTAAATGTATTATTGAATTCAGTTTGCCAATATCTTGTTCTCGACTTTTTTATCAATGTTCATTATATTGGCCTGTAGGTCTCTTTTTTTATAGTGTCTTTTGGTTTTGGGATCAGCATAATGCAGGTTTCAGAGAATGGATTTGGAAACTTTCCTTCCTCTTCTATTCTTCAGAAAGGTTTAAGAAGAATTGGTAACTAATTCTTCTTTAAATGTTTGGTAGAATTCACCTGTGAAGGTGTCTGGTACTGGACTTTGTTGGGAGTTTTTTTATTACTGATTCAATTTCATTGGTGGTAATTGGTCTGTTCAAATTTTCTGTTTCTTCCTGATTCAGTTTTGGGAGATTATATGTTTCTAGGAATTTATCAATTTCTTCTAGGTTGGCATATAATTTTGTTGGCATATAGTTTTTCATAATATTCTCTTATAATTCTTGTTTATCTCTGTGGTATCCATTGTTATTTCTCCTCTTTCATTTTTTATTTTGAGTCCTCTCTCTTTATTTTTTATTTTTGATGTGTCTGGCTAGAGGCTTATCAATTTTCTTGATCTTTTCAAAGAACTAGCTCCTGGTTTTATTCATCTGCTCTGTTGGTGTGTTAATTTTCTATCTCATTTATTTCTGCTCTCTTTACTATTTCCTTCCTGCTACTGGTTTTAGGTTTTGTTTGTTCTTCTTTTTCAAGCTCCTTTAGGTGTAAGGTTACATTGTTTAGTTGAAATTTTTCTTGCCTCTTGAGTTAGGTCTGTATTGCTATAAACTTCCCTCTTAGAACAGCTTTTGGTGCATCCCAAAGATTTAGAACCACTGTATTTTCATTTTCATATGTATTTTTTTATTTCCTCTTTGACTTCTTGATTGACCCATTCATTATTTAATACCATGTTATTTAACTTCCACACATTTGTGTTCTTTCCAGACTTTTTTTCTTGTGGTTGATTTCTAGTTTCATAGTGCTGTGGTTGGAGAAGATGCATGGTATTACTTCAGTATTTTTTAATTTGTTAAGACTTATCTTGTGGCCTAATATGATCTATTCTGGAAAATGTTCATGTGCACTTGAAAAGAATGTGTATTCTGCTGTTTTAGGATGGAATGTTCTGTATATATCTGTTAAGTCCATCTAGTAAAACCGTTTCCTTATTGATTTTGTTTGGGTGAACCATCCATTGATGTAAGTGAAGCATTAAAGTCCCCTACTACTATTGTATTACTATCATTATGTCCTTCATGTCTGTTATGAGCTTTTATGTTTTTGGGTGCTTCCATGTTGGGTGCATAAATATTTACAATTGTTATATCTTCTTGTTGGAGTGTTCCCTTTATGATTATATAGTGTCCTTCTTTGTCTCTTGTTACAGTATGTTTTGAGTCTAATTTGTCTGATATAAGTATTGCCACCTCAGCTTTCTTTTCACTTCCATTTGCATGATAAATGCTTTTCCATCCCTTCCCTTTCAATCTCATGTGTCTTTAGGT